TTCCTCTTTTTTTCTCTCTCTCTCTCTCTCTCTCTCTCTCTCTCTCTCTCGTGTTCTGGTCGTTGGTTCTTGTGGTGGGTGTGGTCGCTTGTTGATATACACGTACCTACATCGCTTTTTATGACGGATTCAAAGTTCTTGTATCGTTACAGTGTGTTTTTTGCTGGTCGACGTTGGGGAATCGCCAGCCTCCCTACGTAATGGATAAATACCTACCTATGGTAGGTAATAAAAACCATATGGTCTCCGCGTATCGTATCAGTATCGACCACCCCTGCCCCTGCCCCTGCCCCAACCTCTCCGCGCCCAGCAAAAAAAATGCGCTGGCTGGTTGGGGGCCCTGCCATCCTCTTTCTTTTTTTTTCTTAGTCCCCAGCCCAGTCCAGCCCAGTCCAGCCCAGCCCAGCCTTCCACCTTTCGCTCAGGTCGAAATACCATTAAAATGATTTCGGGCGCTGCTGATTTGGCGATACGGAACCACGGTACTCCTCCATTTACCACCACATTCACACGTCTTCTCAGCTATCTGCATTCCAACTGCACTCCCGTCCACCGCGTCCACCCCCCCACGTCACGATTTGCACGAGAGCGATCCTGAGATTGTTGATAAGGATAAAGATAAGGAGACGGAGACGGACACGAGAATCTCGGCTCTTGCTCGCTATTTATCGATCGATCGATCGATCAGCCTTGTTGATATTGTTTACTATTATCGAAATCCGATTTGTTTGGAAAGGTATGTCACACCACAGCACCACCTACCGTACCTCGCCATCGATCGCTCTATGGGCAGATCATAGGTTCTACATGGATGGAAGTACTAACTTGTACCTCGCAGATACAAACAAACAGATAAACAAAGAAACAAAACATAACACACATATCCTATCCTATCCTATCCTATCAGCAATACTACACACCCATCCCGCCTATCACCACCACCACAACCACCACCACCACCACAACCACCACAACAACCACCACCACAACCTCCTCCTCCTCCACCCACCCCAACCCCCAAAGCAAAACCCACACCCACACACACACCTCTCTCCCCCCCATCCCCCAAAATGGTCAAGCAAAACGACGTCATCGCCATCATAATCATCATCCTCTTCTTCGTCCTCGCCCTCATCGCCTTCGGCATCTACCACCTCGTGTCCGTCGCGCGCGGCTCCGTCGGCGGGAGCACCACCACCAGCAGCAGCGGCAGCGGCAGCGGCAGCGGGAGCAGCAGGAGCTTGGTCGATGATTAGAGGGAGCGGAGCGGAGTGTAGCGGAGTGTATAACACATACACATACACATACACATACACATTACACACAAAAAAAAAAAAAAAAAAAAGAGAAAAAAAAAAGACAAAGGAGATGGGACCGGAAGGGATGAAAGAAAAGAGATGGGGAGAAAAGAGGGGGATATACCAATTTGGCTTTTCTTTTTTTCTTTGCTTTCTTTTTGTTTTCTTTCTTTTTGCTTTTCTCGTTTTTTTGCTTTTCGGGATCTGTTCTTGTCCTTCTTGATGATGATGATGAGTGATGAGTGATGAGTAACGACGACGCTGATAACGCTGATAACAACAAGTATAATAACAACAACAACAATAATAACAATAATAATAATAATAGGAAGAGACGACCAATGAGTGCGAATGAGGGAGGAATAAAAGGAATGGATGGATGGATGGATGGATGTATGTATGTATATACCTAGCATAGCATAGCATAGCACACCTAGCATAGCACATGGGCGTTTCTTCGGATTTGGAACCGGGAGGGTGTGGAGGGGTTAGATATGTATGTATCTATCTATCGATCGATCGATCTATAACGAGATAGCAGAGCGGGTAGAGCGGGCGGCGTATAGAATGAACTGTCTTGTCTGTCGTCTGTCGGCTTGGGATATGAAACTTCACATACACATATACATACCTACTTACATACATACATACATCTACGTCCGCTCACTTCCAATCACGTGAAATCTGGTCTGACTTCTGCGAAGAGAGGAGATAAGTAGGTGGTTCAGATACCTACCGACCGACCCACGTGCTTTACGACGTGCGAGTTGGCGAAAGGGAGAGAGAGAAAATTCGCCATCGTTCGATCAATCAATCAGCCAGTCGGTTTGCATTTCTATGAGCATGCCATGCCGTGCGTGAAAGAAAAGGAACGCTCGCGCGCCTGCACCTCTCTCTCTGTACAGTACAAGATAGCATAGCAACCATTCGCACGCAAAAAAAAATTGTGAAATCAGTAGTTGGCCGAGAAGGAAAGCCCCAGATGACGCCAAGCTTGCTCGCCCCTAATTCAATTCACTTTCAATGCCATGCCATGCCATGCCATGCCCGGACTTGCTATCCATGCTCCCATGCCTCCCGCCTGACAAATGAAAATTTGGGGTTTTCGTATGATGATGTGTGTTGTTGTGCGTTGCGTTGCGTTGCGTTGCATCGCTGACAACAGCCTATGCGGGAAGAAGACTACACGTCTGCATCCCCATGCTCTCCACGGTCTTTGTATTCAGTAATGTCTTGTTGTTGCCCCTTCCACCAGTATCCAAGCTTGCGATAGTGATATGCTAAGCCTGTTCATCCCCCATCCTCTCGCGTCTTCCATGGCGCATTCAGCGGTATCCGTTGGACTTGGTGGTGTAGGTAGGTCCCACGCCACGACCAGAGTATGCGGAGCTGCCTTCCTCGAAGTAAGGGTGCATGCAGGCCTGCTTGGCGGAGATGCGACCGGCGGGGTCATAGACCAGCATGTGCTCGAGGAGGTCGAGTCCCTTCTCGTCAAGGTTCGAGCAGAGGGGGACCGACTCGTCGCGGATCCACTTGGGGAACGAGGGCTTGAAGTCAGGGAAGCAGGTCTTGTCTTGGACGCCTGGCCATTCGGCTTCGGTGGGGGTGCCTAGGAGCCTTGATCTGTTAGTAAAGATAGGTTTCGAGACAAGATTGGAGCATACTTGAAAATCTTAAAGATTTCGTCGATCTCCGAGTCTCCTGGGAAGAGAGGCTTGCGAGTGCACATCTCAGCGAAGATACATCCGACGGACCACATGTCTACACCAGTAGAGTATTGGCGACCTCCAAGCAGGATCTCGGGCGATCTGTACCACAGGGTGACGACTTCATGGGTGTAGGTTCGAAGGGGGACACCGAAGGCGCGAGCAAGACCGAAATCGGCCAGCTTGAGATTGCCGTCACGGTCAATCAGCAAGTTTTGGGGCTTGAGATCGCGATGGAGAACACGATGGCTGTGGCAGTATCTCACACCCTCGCAGAGCTGGCTCATGAACTTCTTGACCATCGCATCACCCAGGCCCAGTCGTCCCAGATCCGGACCAGAGCCTTCAGGTAGAGCCTTGCCTCTGCCACCATCGCTGACTGGGAGGGACTCCATGTACTTCTTCAAGTCGAGGTCGAGGAACTCAAACACCAGGTACAACTTGTGGCCGTCGGCGTGAACGATGTTCAGGAGTCGGACGATGTTCGGGTCGTTCATCTCTTTGAGGAGCGAGATCTCGCGGATAGCGGTACTGGGGACACCCTCATCCTCTGCCTCGAGACGGATCTTTTTGAGCGCAACGATACGGCTGTTGTGGAGGAGGTCTTTGGCCTTGTAGACGACACCGTAGGTTCCTGGACAAGTAGAAATCAGTATGTTGACCCGCGTTTGGCGCGGTGCAGGAGTGCGCCTGCAGACCGGTGCCCGCCCTGCGGTGTAGACTAACCTTCTCCAACCTTCTCCAACTTCTGGTAGTTCTCCATGATGACCTTTGGAGTTCGGGGATTCAGAGTGGTTGCAAAGGAGTGTCGAGGATTAATTGATGCAGATAAATCTGCTGCGTCGAGAAATCTGATGGTGGGGGCGGTGAACCTGAGGAGGGGTACTCGTCGTATGTTCTGAATCAATTATCGCCGGAAGAGTAGTCGTCGAGAGCTGATATCGGACGGATATTAACACAGTTGGGGGATTGTCGAAGAGACGGGTGGGCCGGAGTGTTGTCGTTGTTGTCGTCTGACGGTCGAGGGATGTTGGTGGGATGGTTTGATGCAAAGTAAACAATGGTCGGCGCGAAATCAATTTGCGGGACGTGTTCTGGGGTCGCGCTAAAGATAGATCCCACTGCCCGGCTCGGAATAACGTTTTTGCTCTTTTTCATCCTAACAAAGAACATGAAATTTGCCCACGCAACATCGCAACCTCGCAACATCCTTCACCTCTCACGTCTTCTCGTCTTCTCGCCTCCTTGGATATCCAACCTTTGGATATATATCTCTCCTGCCTACTCACGCCCCTCATCTTCCAGAGTTGGACTCAGGCACGAGTTCCACGATGGAGTTCGATCCGCAACTTGAACCAGAGCCAGAGCCAGAGAGGCTAGATTCCCATGAAAAAGTGCCTCGGAAGTTCAAAGATCTTTTCAAGTCATGGAAAGGCCGAGCAGGCAAATTGGATCCAGCCCGTGCTGAAGAGCTTGCAGGTCTGGCAAACGTCGGGCTCAAGCATCAAGACATTTCAATGTCTGTGCTCTGGCAAGCATTTCAGTCGTTTCACGTACCTCCTGGTCTCTATGGAAGCTTTCCTCTAACCCTTCCAGAAGTTCCAGCCGTTCCAGGAGTTGAAGCAGCGGGAACTCCTAGAGCTTACCACTCGACCAGAGTGCCGGGTAGGTGCATCTCTCTCTCTTTCTCTCCCGAGTTATCTTGCTCGTCAAGCGCGATTGTTGTTTTGTCAGGTGTATCAATCAATCCACCCCACTCTCTTTCTGACCTCCCCCAGGTTTGGTCGTTATACCCTCACTTCTCCCTCCTGCTATTCAGCAAGAGCTTCTTTCCAGATTGTTACATCGAGATCTCAATAATCCAGAGCACAACACAAATCTCCATCTTCACTACAATGTCCAATATCCGGAAGCATCATCGTCACATAGACATTCTTCCTCTTCCTTCTTCGCTGGCTCCCCTGAACGCGTCTCCTTTTTACCAAAGAATCCCGCAGAGCACAAGCCCCTCACAATGCAGCAGGCTCTCCAGAAGAAATTGCGTTGGATGACGTTGGGTGGACAGTATGACTGGACCAAGAAGAAGTACCCGGAGGAATCTCCTCCTCATTTCCCACCGGATATTGCTGCACTTATCCGAAAGCTTTTCCCAGATATGAAACCAGAGGCGGCGATTGTCAACATCTACTCCCCCGGGGATACGCTGGGCATGCATCGCGATGTGAGCGAGGAAGTCGACGAAGGCCTGGTGAGCATCAGCATAGGCTGCGATGCCGTCTTTATCATTGGCCTGTGCGACCATGATTCAGGTCTTGAGGTTCATTACGAAGTGCTGCGACTACGTTCTGGCGATGCGGTTTACATGACAGGCAGGTCGCGCTTGGCTTGGCATGGCGTCCCGACCGTGGTTTCCGGTACTTGTCCAGGATACCTGGAGGAATGGCCGGGTAAGGAGTACCCGAGCTGGAAAGGCTGGATGCAAGAAAAGAGAATCAACTTAAATATCCGACAAATGTTCAAGACTCAACTGATACAGTCCCCGGCGTTTGACTAACGACGCCCACTCTTGGGTTTTGTATCGATCCGCGCTAAAGTCACCGCTAACTCTTGGGCAAAGTTCCCGAGACTACGGGAGCCTCCGTGCAGTCCGATCATAAAAGGTTGTATTCCCTCCACCGCTTTTGCCCGACAATTTTCTTGTCTGTTCGCAATAGGATGATGATCGACTGGAAACGGTTAGGGGAGAAGAAGCGGGACTCGGTCAACGCACTCATCCCTAAACCATGGCTTCTGACCTCACCTCTCCCGTCGGCGACTGAACAGCGAGATGTCACCGGCAAATTTATCCAGAAGTATCTGTCGCCTAGAGAAGTTGAAATTACGGAAACCGATGCCGTCGGTATAGTCGAGAAAACAACCTCAGGAGTATGGAAAGCCCGAGAAGTTGCAGAGGCTTTCTGCCACAGAGCAGCTCTTGCTCACCAAATGGCAAGCGATAAAAAATCCTCGACCGGAACGCCAGCTCATCTCTCATAGGTCAATTGTCTTCACGAGATCTTCTTTGACGCTGCTCTTGCCGATGCTCAGAAACTGGATGACTATTATGCAGAGTACAACAGACCGGTCGGGCCTCTTCATGGACTTCCAGTCAGTCTCAAGGACCAGTTCCATGTCAAGGATGTTGAAACCACAATGGGATATGTTGGCGTAAGTGAAAGTGTATTCAAGTTCCTGCTCTTCGTTTGACCGTGTGTTCTGCCGTCCGAGGCCTGTAGATCTTGCCATTAGCGGTAACAGTGAAATATTCTTAAGCTTGATACTGATTTGCTGCAGTGGATCGGTACATTTGAAGGCAAAACAGGAACCAACAAAGAGAAAGCCTTCGAGAGTGAAATGGTCAGAGAACTTCGACATCTCGGCGCAGTACTTTATTGCAAGACCTCTGTCCCTCACACTCTCATGGCAGGTGAAACAGTCAACAATATCATTGGCTATACCTGGAACCCCAAAAACCGCAACTTGGCCACCGGAGGAAGCTCTGGAGGGGAAGGTGCTCTCATTGCTCTGAAGGGTAGTCCAGTAGGCTTTGGCACAGATATTGGCGGGAGCATCCGTATCCCAGCCGCTTTCAATGGACTTTACGGTATCCGTCCTTCGAGTGGGAGAATGCCCTACGAAGGTATGGCAAACAGTATGGACGGCCAGAACTCGATTCTCTCCGTCGTTGGCCCGCTGGGTACTTCCGTAGGAGCGTTGAGATTAGTCATGAAAGCCATACTCAGTCAAAAGCCTTGGCTATACGATCCTCTCGTAACCGAGATCCCGTGGCGTCATGAGCAGGAACAAGCTGTGCTGGACATCGTCAAGTCTAGTGGGGGTGGCCAACTCGTGTTTGGCATTATGGCCGAAGATCGTGTAGTCCGGCCGCAGCCTCCTGTTCGCAGAGCAATCGATATCGTTACCAAGCTGATTGAGAATCTGGGCCACAAAGTCATGACTTGGGACCCTCCTGATCACTCGGTGGCTGCCGAACTCGCAGTAGGTGCATTTTCGTTCGAGTTGGGAACATGTCATTGACATTATTTAGCTCAAAACATGGATGTTCGATGGTGGATCTGATGGTTTGTCACACTATTACCACCGACCATGGATTTACTAAAAGATCTCAGTACATGGTGCATTTGCCCTCTCAGGCGAACCAATGGCCAACCAAATCGCATCAACCTATGGTATTCGTAAAGAAGAATACACCGGCTCCCAAATATGTGCCGTTAACGTCGCCAAACGCCAATACCAAAAAGCTTACAGTAGGTGCAAACACCGCCCCGCTTCCATATTCCAATTTTCGACCCCTCAGACAGCATAGAGATCCGAGGATTCTCAGACATAATTCCGCTTCCCGGATATGATCAGAAACAGAGCTAACTTGAGTGAAGTGGACTACTGGAACTCAACTTCCTCAATAACTGGCACCGGCCGTCCCGTCGATGCCGTCATCGCGCCACTCGCCCCGTTCGCGGCTGCCAGACCAGATATGTATAAATACTACGGTACGTATGTCTCTTTAAATCGGTAGCTAACTTTTTTCTTCTGCCATGTAGGTATGATTTTGGACATGTAGAGGTAAAAAAAACTAAACGTGTTTTGCCAGCCTATACGGTCTGGGTCAATCTCCTGGATTACTCAGCTGCAGTGCTGCCCGTTATGACTGTGGACAAGACGTTGGATGTTGTGGATCAGGGCTATCAGCCACTGAATGCGCAGGATAAGAAGGCTTGGGAAGCTTGTGAGTGCTATTTATTATCGGTGAAGATGGGGCACTGGGCTGGCTGTTCAGGAAGCCTTTCTGACGTTGACACTCTTACAGATGATCCGGATCTTTACGATGGAGCGCATGTTTCCTTGCAAATTGTGGGAAGGCGGTTCCAGGAAGAGAAGGTACTTGCTCTTACCGAGTATCTTGGCGACGCATTGGGGAAGCACGTTGTATGAAGTACCGAGTCGATGCCAGATATCATCTTTGCGAATTAGCCTACCTCGTTCACGAATCACGATTCGTTTGCTTTTTTCTCGGTGGAATTAATATTTCTTCTTTTGCCGACTATAGCCGCCCTCCCCATGTCTGAGATACGAAGTTCCAAGCAGCTTCGAGAGTCCATGCCACGGAAGTGCACGGTGCCAGTCCGCGGGGTGGTTTTCGGCCATCACAGCTGTTACTCCGAACGGAGGCTTATTCCATCTCATAAGTACTTCAGCCCTGTGGCCCCTTCTTGCTCTATCGATTTGGCGAGAAAGGCGCTACCGGACACATATATGGAAAGTATCCGAGATGGTTCGAGTAGAACTGGCTCTTTCACAATACCAGCTAGCTGAAAATATGTCGCTTGCAGTCACAGTTGACAACAACGCTATAAACACGTGATCCATCATCACCTGTACCCTCCACGCAAGCACAAGATCGATGTCTGTCGGCTGCTCGAAATTCTTATCAACTGCCAGTAATTCCTTGATCGACAGACACAGCTAAGAATCATAGCAGAGGATGGATGGATGAATAATACCTCACCGTATCAGTATGGCAACAGCCAGCCAGCCTCAGACAAGTTTCAAAATATGCATGTATGTATGATTTATATCTTACCTATCTATATCCTGGAAAGTGTTCCCGATTCCAGAATGTATAGCCTGTATATATATGTATATATGTATAGCGTATTACATACACTACAATTCACTACAATTCACTACAATTCACTACAATACACTACAATGCAATAGCGATCCAATACAACCCACAAACCACGACCCCAGCTTCTTTCTTTCTTTCTTTCTTTCTTTCTTTCTGCATGAAGTAAAAGTCCGCCCGTACGTTCCCGCTCTCACTTCTGAGTCTGAGCATATCCAGATAAATGTGGGGAATATATATATATATATACATAAATACGTACAGGTTCAGAGCTGCAAATGCGACGATACATCCTCCTCTGCTCTAATCTACTCTACTCTATTCTGCTCTATTGATTTTCAGGCACTAGCCAGCCAGCCAGCCCACTTTTCAGTCTTGTTCCGACATCTAAAATTCGCGTGCTCGCTCATAGGCAGGCAGGCGGCGTTCTTTTCGTTCTTCGTCCTCGACTTCTCTTGTACTACACCAAACAAATACTCGTAATGTCACCAGTACTTGTGATCATACACCTTCAATCCAGGAGCACCGTCTATACACGCACACGTCTCGTATGCCATTACCGCTAATGACTTACTTCGGTCTTCTTTTTCTTATTCTTTGTCTTCTTCTTTTTCTTCTTTTTCGTCTTCGTCTTCTCTCGCTGCGGCAGGCTTACGCTCACCATTAAGCACCAATCCTCACATACCCTGGCACAACCTGGCCCTCCAGCCCCTCCATCCTCGTCGAGATATCCAAATCACTCCTTTGCTGCTGCTGCTGCTGCTGCTGCTGACCACCACTATTACCATCACCACCACCTCCATCACCTGGGTTGCTATTACTCAGCCTCAAGCTCGTTGACGCTGACCCATTCATCCGACTACGCCCCATCTCACTCATCTGCTCCACATAACTATCGTCGTCGTCCATATCGGCGTCCGCGTCCGCGTCCGCATCTGCGTCCGCATCGGCGTCAGCATCGGCTTCGCTTCCATCACCAGCTGACGCTCCCATCGGCGTCATGACGGGACTGGTGATGACCGGTACCGTGCTTTGCGCTTGAGCCTGAGCCTGGACCCCGTTTCCATTTCCACTCTCTTGAGCGTTCCCGTTCGGATTTTGGTGTTGCTGAGGTTGTTTGAGCTGTTGAAGTTGGGGGGGAACGCTGCTCGTTGCGGAGTGCGAAGAACCACCGCTCAAGCTCCTCTGCGCCGCGAGCCCACTTCCATTCCCCGCGCTCCCCCTCGCCTCCCTCACCACCCCCTTCCACCGTCCAATGGCCCGTTCAATCACAGCATCTAGCGGCATGTTCCCATCTAAGAGCGTGAGCCCCGTAGAATTAGCTTGCATGCCCTCATCAGCCATCATACTCAGCAGCGGCGCCCCAAACGCAATGGTGCTTGGCGGAGAAAGCTTGAATTCCCGAGGATGCTGCAGCCTGCTTAATTCATCGACTTGCTGTCTCAAGTGTGCTGTTTCCTGTTTATGGAAATCGCGCTCTTTCTTTAGCTTTTCTATCTCCTCGGATTTGCGGCCGATGCCACGGGCGAGTTCCAGTGTCCAGATCTCGCTACGTTTCGGCATGGGGAGGGCGGTCCAGTGGCCGAAGGAGATGTGTAAGTGCCTGGATATCTTGTTCTCGAGTTCCGTGGCGGCTGCTTCGGCTTGTTGGGCGACCTCTGCGGGGTCTTCGAGCCCGAACATGGAGGATTGGGGATTGAGTGGGTAGGAGAGGTCGTCAGGGGGGGTGGTAGTGGCTATTGCTACCGAGACTCGCCACTTGTGGAATGCGGCTGAGAAGTGGTCTACCAGGGCGTGGTATTGGGTTTCGCCCGGGGGGTGGGTGGACCAGGAGTTTGTAGTAGGGATGGTGGTGCTTTGGTATAATGTTGGAGGTGGTGGGAGGCAGTGGAGAGCCAGGGAGGGAAAGTCGAGCTTCAGGGGGTCGTAGTCAAAGATATCGGGGCCGTCAATACGTTGCCTATGGGCATTTAATCAGATAAAACTTCTCCCAGGGTTGAAGGGGAGGAACAAGGAGACATACTTCGCAGCTCGTATCGACCCCAACAGCTCTCTCAACGCCAGTTCAGCAGCCTTCGCATTATCTAGCGCATCGATCATCTTTTGCTTCTGCTCAAACGTCGTCTTGGCGAGCATCTGCTTGCTCACCGACCTATTCCTAGGCTCCAACCTCCTACTCGCATCCCTATCCTCCCCATCCCAACTCCTCGCCATACTGTCCCTCGGTGGCGGGATGTGGTTCATCACACCCGTTGACTCCCAAGTCCCCTTGTTCAAAGAGAAACCTGACCTCCTCTTGTAATGGATTCCATCTCCCATACCATCTTCCCTCTTCAGACTCGGCGACTCATTCCCAGACTCCGGTCGTGGGCTCCTCCTGTCATGAGCGCCCGGCGTCCCAGCTGGTGTAGAATCCTCCCTCCTAGAGTTCCTCGACCCCGAGGTCCTTGGCTGTCTCCTTGTGATCCCCTCTCTCAGCTTCCTGATCTCAATCACATCATGTATCCCGTCCGGCGCCTTGGGGTTTTTCTCCTTGATGTACAGATCGAGATGACGGCCGAGGGACGACGAAGTGAACTGCTGGGCGCAGAAAGGACACGCTTTGTCTTTAGGAGCTTTGTTCTGCCCGTTGACTGACATGTCAGCGTTGGAGCCAGGGGTTCCTATTTGCTCTGCCATGGTTCTCGACGCCGCTTGCTTGCGGAGTAGCTTCGTATTATGTTTGCATTTGTGAAGCACTCAGCATGATTCTCCTCGGTGGTTGACTAGGAAAGGAGAAGGAGAAGGAGGTTGAGAAGCGCATAGGAGGATCCGGGAGAGAAATGAAGGGAATACAAAAGTAGTTAGAAAGAATGAGGTGGTTAAAGGGGTTTGCAGCTTTGTTGTCACCTAGGTACATATTATCTCGGTTCAAGGATGCGCCGCGATCCCTGCCAAGTACAGTAGAAAAGAAGGCTAATCACCCGGCCCTGACCAAAAGCAAGCAACATGAGAGATGCTTAAAACACATCAGGATTTTGTGCTTGATGAGAGTCGGCAATACATACCATTCATGGTTTGCGTCATGTACAGCATTGAGGGAGAGGGATGTTGCTTGCACTAATGTTGTCGCGACGGTCTACGGACCCGTCTCACTCATCTACTCAAAGGTCTGAAAATCATGAATCTATGCTTTTGATTTAAGTTATGTATTTCCACCTTGCAGACACCTGGCCATTATCGTGAGCTCATTTCTACCTATGTCCATGCACGCATGCAGACCCCGAAACCAAGACCAATGCGCCAACGGCAGCAACCACCCAATCGCGAGATCACTGGAGGAGAGGATCCTGAACGCTATTAGTACATCTCTTGAGGCTTCGAGCGAGAAATTGCTTACCCTGAAATGCTTTTGGGAGTTGTTCTGCTTATTGACGTGCCATTGGTATTGTCTGGCGGCCCGCTCCCCGACTCTTCTAGATCGCTTCTCAAGAACTTTAACCTCCTTGCGTTTCTCCGCACTGACACCAGCCATGCCAAGTCCACCGTTTGCACGGCTGATCAAGGCTCGGCCACGCTCTCTCTCGTTGAGACGGATAATTCTCTCATCCTGCTCTTCCTCAGAACTGGCAGTGGCCTCGATAGCGAGCTGCTCTTGTCTTTCCGCGGGCGAGGGATGGTTGACGAGATTCTGTCTATAGTATTTATTCAAAGATCTGTGACCAGCGGTACGTCCTGAGGGCAGGTGAAGCTCGTATTCCGAGTAGAAGACTGCATGAGTGTGCTTGTGTGCATGTGAATGCCAACCGTCCTTGTTTCGGTGAGGCCGAGGATCGTCGTGGGAGTGGTGAGGATGTTGATCGAGTTTCTTATATTGGTGCTCACGGCCAGCTGGGACTGCGGTAAGGTCGTCGGAATCCAGAGATGACTCGGAACTGTCTGTCTCCCAACCATCTCCGTCTTCCATTTCTTCGTCGCCATCCTTGTCGACCTTGGCGTTTCGCTTAGCATCCAGTTTCACACCACCACTCTGCTTCTTTCCTGGCAATTCATCCTCTTCGTCTGACTCATCCTCAACATCAGAATAAGTACTCGTGAAGTCGTAGAACTCCCCGATCTCTAGCTGCTGATCCTCGGTGTCGAATGGAATCTTGCAATGTCCCTTATCTCTCATATGGGTCTGGAGACCGAATACAGTAGGCTTGAGCTTGCCACAATACAGACACTCGTGGAATTCTGTGATCTTTTCATACAGATAGCCGATCAGACCGTCAAGCTGAACCAAGTAATTTCGCTCAGGGATAAACATGCTATGAATGCGCTCCATATGCGCAGCGTTAAGCTCAATCGAAGGAGACTCATAGTTGCAGAACAAGCAGCGTTTCAGAGCCGTCTCGAGAGTAATCTCTTCGTCAGCAGCGGTGACCGAAGGAGCAGTCTTGTCTGCGACTTCTTTTTCCCCCGCGGCTGAGGGGTGTGGTCGTGTTGGGCGGCCAGTTGGTCCGGGTTCCTTCAAGCTGGCCTTCTGAATCCCCTCAACGACCTTATTAAACTCCTCCTCCGCATCTGAATCTATGCCCGCCTCAACGTTTGTCGGCTCTCCGAGCGAAAAGGTTGAGCTCATCACCGAACTCGCGTCATCGATCGTGGTTCCCTCTGCGGCAGCCAGCCTGGCTCTATGCTTCTGGCTCCCAACATGATTTTCGAAGGCGTTCTTGCTGAAATAGGTGCGGGCGCAAACGGTGCAATTCTTCTCGTAGGAAGCCTTGTTGGCGGCGGCTGTGGACGAGGCTTGGGCTTGAAGAACCTTCTCGGTGAACGTTTCGGACGAGATGGGCGGCAGGGAAGTGACACGACGCTTGAGGTTGTACCGGCTGGATGATCATGACCATGTCAGAAAACGAAGAGGAGGGATAGAATGGGATGCACAAGCTGAGGCCAAGACCCAGGTGCGACTTACTGCCAGTCGCAGCGCATGTGCCCTCGCTGTAGTTCGCTGTTCCTGAACGCCACCTGACAGGTGTTGCAGGTATAAGGATGCGACGAAGTGGTATCGGTCTGGCCGGAGGTGGTTGGCGCCGGCAATCTGCTGGCTGCGATCGAAGCCATGGCAAAATGTGGTGAATTTGGGGGGATATGGATGTGTGAGATGTGGTGGGGGTTGTGGTTGTGGTTGTGGGATTTGAGGCTTGGTGGGGAGGCGGGGGGTCGGGGGTCGGATACTGTAATGGAAAAAGTGGATTAGTAAGTAGGAAATCAGCAGTCACGTGGAAATGGATACAGTAGCAGCGTGGGAAGGGTGATTGATGGGTTCGAAGTGCAAGTGCAAGTAAAAGTTTCCAGTTGGTACCTAACTTACCTACTTATCGAAATTCCTGTTCAGTGAGACGAAGGCGAATTGTTCATGTCAGCAGCTGGTGGGGCTTGCGTCATTGTACACGCGCTAGTCTGTATATGTCAGCCCCCGACGCGGCTGAGGGCAGCAGACGCCGACCCCGACCCCGACCCCGACGCCGAGATCGCGCTTTTACTTTACTGACTTACTTGAGGCTCAGCCTCCACGGATTATTCCTCCTCTCACATCAATGTGTTCCTGAACAACACAACACAGCACAACACGAACGTCCCCCCAGGTCGTGTCACTGCAAATGCCATGACTCGAGAGACGCGCCAAGTCCACGATGAACGGGACCGGGGCCAGGACCAGGATGCCGCCAGCGAGGCGGAAATATACGCAGCCTTGTGGGCGACAGCGCCTTTTCCACGACTTCCCGACGATGCTCCGCACGAAGTGAAACGACTGACCATCGATGTCGAGGAACCAAAAAGAATATATGGTATCCACAAAGCTCGCAGGCGCCATAACTTCCAGCTTTTAGTAGAACGGTGTGTTGTTGGCTTGCCACGCGGTTTCAAGGCAGGCATCACGTACTGACAAAGCCACAGTTACATCCTTCAGATCCGGTATGGCTGTCAGTCCGAGACATGCACGACAACCACATGCTTCTCCTGCCGAAAACGCGCCGCGAATGGCGTCCCAATTCGGCGTTACAACTCTAGCAGCGCGCGAACTCTTGCGATCTATATGGCTAGCCAAGACAACCCAGAACAGGGTCTCTGCCACCATACCAGCGTAGGGAGGGCCGCTCCAGTCATCCAAAAGCCCCTCAAGTCGAGACCGATTCCCCCTACCGAGGACCGGATCTCTCCAGCTGTTCCAGCTACTCCAAGGCGGAATGATGGAAGACAGACTCCGAAGAATGGCGCTTTTGTTGAGGATTTACCGGGTGTCGATAAACAAACAAGAAAGAAACTCTCGGCGGAGAACTTGATAAGAAGGACTCAAGTTGATCTCGCGGCTTTGGAGGAACCCTCTACAATCGATCCTCGATCGTTTGTGCAAAATGTTTTTGGCACGGTAGCTTACAAGATGGTCGAATGGCTCACGCCACGGAACCTTGATCTCTTAGCACGATCACAACACCCAGACGTGATTCCGAATGAAATCCATCCTACGCCCCAGCATCAACATGACGGTGGGCCCAGCGATCCTCCAATTCAGGGTGAGCCTATTAACGCAGAAGTTCCAGAGCTTGCAAGCGATGTAGCAGAGGACAGCATTCAAGTCGGAAAACCATCCTCTACGGTATCGATTCCAGAGAGCACCGTGGTCACGAAACCCGAACCTGTTGATTCACAAGAAACGAAGCCAGGCCTGCATCAGGAACCGAACACCCATACTGTGGCGGGAAATGTGCCTCTTTCAAATAGAACGAAGAAATCGAACTCACGTGAACTTCAGACTCCCAAGGGTATACTCAGCAAATCTCAGAAACTAACTGATGCCACTGATCCTCTCTCGCCACCTGCGTCGAATATTGTCCAGCCGAGAAAACCAATTCGCAGAATGTCTCACCAGGCTTTGATCACTAGTCCCAGGATTCGAAGTAGTAGTGTGGTGCAGACGAACGCTCGCGATACCGTGCAACATGATGGTACCAGCGATGAGGCTTCTTACATGATCTCTCCGTACCACGAAGTCGAACAAGTGCCTGTAGACCGCGTGAGTCGGCCTGTGGAAGCGGCGAAACCAAGAGATCATGAAAAGTCGAACGGGCTCATTGCACACAAACAGCCTTGGAATCCCGCTAAGACAATCCTCCGAGAGAGAAAGGGTCGCAGGTCTACACTTACGGACGAGGTTCTACTCCCTCAGTCCATGTCTTCACTGTCAATAGAGACGATTGACTTGCTATGTGATATCATGCAAACCGATGGGACTTGCGAAAAACATTTACTCCAACCCAGAGCTATCGATGACACCCTGAAAAGGTTTCGTACTGACTCCACTCCTCTGTCTCGCAACCCGTCACCACGACTACCGTCGCATTCTTCTCGAACCAGAAATCAATGGAAGGTGTTCATCGAACAGAGCTTCTTTGACGTGCTTGGCAAGCCTGACTCGTTATTGAGATCATTCAGCGATGATGGAACGAAGTTGTTTGATTCACAGACCACGTGGTATCTCCTCCTTCGGATGACGAGAGCCACACCTTCGTTAGTTTTTGACAGTCTATGGAACGTTGCTGGCGTTCTCTTTAGACCTCCGGAAAAGCTTGAATTGGCCTATGAATGGGCAAAACACAGCAAGATCCCCTCTCCAGGGCCTCTTTCAAACGACGATGCTGCACGGCTATTGAACATCTGTCTCCATGCTCTAGTCGCGGCGGTTCCTCTCATCTCCGATGCCCGTCGGCTGGCAAACATGTCCCGGATGCGGTCATACGGACTTGCTGTGCTTGGGAGGGAGCCATCATCGCTGGAACCCATGGAGTTGTGTCTCCAGTATGAAGACGCATTCACGGACGAGCCGGCCTTCAGACTTGCGCGCAGAGTCTTTGCATCAATTCCGACGAGACGCAGTTTCGCCGAGCTTCTTGAACTCGAGAAGGATGTTCGCAATGATGAGATCCGCGAGCCCGACATCCTGGACTCCCTTCTAGGGACGCTCAGGTTCTTGGATCCCGTCCTCGATTTTTCGGATGAGGAACGTGACATGCATGAAAAGCGTATTCCAACATTGATTCTTGACTGGGCTCGAACAGTTGTGCTTCAAGAGTGGGACGGGTCTGGCATAGTTCCGAATAATGGCCCTTTAGGTGGTGCCTTGGCTATGATGGCTGCCATTTGTAAGTTTAACTATTTTGTGTAATTGCCTCGGCTGACTCCTTGCCAGACGAGAATCGCAAGTCCTTACTCTTGGGAGACATTCACTTCCGAACAGAGTACTTTGCCGATCGTTTAGATCCGGTCGACATGCCCCTGGAGTGGCTCTCATTCGTCCAGAACAAGCGAACTGTGCATCTACTCGACTACCCGTATCTCTTTAATCCTTCAACGCTGGTTACCTATTTTCGGGCTATCAACTACTCCAAGATGAACAATTCCTACGAACGAGCTCATACGACAGGAACCCTCGTTGCTCATTTTGTGAATGAAGGGGGACTAGTGGGCGATAGGTATCGGAAGGAGAAGCTGAACGAGCGTCTACGCACCGCAACCTCCGAATACATGGTTCTTGAAATTCGCAGAAGTCACGTCCTACTAGATAGTTTCAACGCCCTTTGGAGAAGAGAAGAACGGGAGCTAATGCGGCCCCTGAAGATCCGGCTGGGCGAGGAAGGTGGAGAAGAGGGCCTCGATTCTGGCGGTGTTCAGCAAGAATTCTTCCGGTTGGCGATTGCTGAGGCCCTCGATCCTGACTATGGCACTTTTACTATTGATTCGAGGACAAAGATGACATGGTTCCAACCTGGATCGCCGGAGCCACTTTGGAAATTCGAGTTGATCGGCATGGTTGTGTCGCTTGCTGTCTACAACGGCCTCACGTTACCAGTCACATTCCCCAAGGCACTGTACCGAAAGCTGCTGGACGAAGAAGTCACCGAACTCCATCACATTGCCGATGGATGGCCCGAACTAGCGAACGGATTGACTACGCTACTAGAATGGGACGAGAAGGACGGCCTGGTGGAAGATATCTTCGCCCGCACCTACGAGTTCAGCATCCAGCAATTCGGCCAATCCATCAGCCGCGAAATGGGTACCGCCTCAACGCACTGGCCCCAGTTCGCCGACCTCCAGACCTCTTCCAACCCCACTGATGCGCCCTCCGTCACCAACCAGAATCGCAACAGCTTCGTCAGCGACTATATCCGCTGGCTGACCGATATCTCAATCCAGCCTCAATTCGACGCATTCAAAGCCGGGTTCTACGCCTGCCTCGATCGCCGCGCCATCACGCTCTTCTCCCCCGAAACGCTGCAGTCCGTGGTCGAAGGCGTGCAGGAAATTGACATTAGCGAGATGCGGCGGGCCGCGCGGTACGTGGGCTGGGAAGGCGACGCATCGCACCGCTCGGTGCGGGACTTCTGGAGCATAGTCAAACGCTACGATCTGTCTCAGAAGCGTAAACTTTTGGAGTTTGTGACGGCGAGCGATCGGGTGCCTGTAGGCGGGATGCGGAACCTCCAGTTCACGCTGCAGCGGAACGGGGTGGATGACGGCCACCTGCCGAGTAGCTATACCTGCTACGGGATTTTGCTGCTGCCCGAGTATTCGAGCAAGGAGGTGCTGAGGGAGAAGCTTGCCATGGCGCTGGAGAATAGCAAGGGATTTGGGTTTGCGTAGCTCGCTCGCTCGCGGGACACGGGAACCGGATTGTTTTTGGCGCGACGGCTGGGTCGGAGTGAGGGAAAGTTGGGATTCGATGTGTGTATGTGTATTCCAGTGTGTAAGATGGCATGTTCTGATCCCTTGCTCTATCTCTCTCTCTCTCTCTGGGTGGACGCAGTTATTTTCGAGTATCGAGACTGTAGATAGAGATGTATCCGGTTTTCCGGGCTGCTCGAAAATTATTTCCATGAGGAAAATAAGGAGAGAGAGAAGAAGAGACGGATTGTCGGGAGTATATATGTAAAGTAGCACTGTGATATGTATATATCTATATAAAGTTCTAGACTGCCCTGCCCTGCCCTGCCCGATGAATGAATGAATGACCTACCTACCTAGGTAGGTAGGTAAGGTAAAGAAAGGTAAAGGTAGAACTCTACCACCGACTTCTGCTTGACCGCCACAGTCGAGTGAGTTGTCAGTCAGTCAGTCAGTCAGTCAGTCAGTCAGCCCATCGACCTACCTACCTACCTACCTACCTACATCTACCCCGTCCTTTCCCTCCCTATGAATATAAACTTGGATATGAATATTGATATGAATATGAATATTGATATGAATATGAATATTGATATAAACAAGAACAAAGTAAAGAGCAAGCGAGGGCCCCAACCCCCGCGAAAAGCGCTGCACAACTTCGGGGCGCCAATCTCCGCAAGTAGGTACCGTAGGTAGTACCGGTATTTCGCAGGTTGCCCCCCTCCTTGGGCGTGGGCTTTTGTTAACTAGGTAGGTATCAACTACTGAGTAGGTAGGTAGGTAGGTAAGGTAGGTAGGTAGGTATTCGGTCTGCTTCCCCTCGGCTTTGGATTCTTGCTGTGAAAAGCGGGGTGGAATTTGAATTATATATATATATATATATTTCCGTGTATAGATGGACGGATGGGTGGATGGATAGAGGAAGGATGGATGGGTGGGTAGATGTAGGTATTGGTTCCGGGGAACGTCCAATCTCGCTGGACCGGTGAGGTGTGTTGCGCAGAAGTGGTACCGGTACCGGTAGTGGTACAGTAGTGGTACCTATTTACTCACGTGGAGTCGGGCGGGTAAGGGGGATCCAAAACGCCATGCTTGCTTGGACCCTACTTACTGCAGAACTCTAGGACCTCCCTCCTCCAGAGCACGGAGCGAGCTCCGTGGAGGAATGATTGCAAATCCCCGGAAAAGCACCAACCCCCCCCCCCCCCCCCCCTTTTTTCTTCCTTTCTTTTTTTCCCAAAAGAATCCGCATCATGTTGTCTGGTTTGATGCAAGTTGAATACGCGTACAGGTATACACACAAACACCGTTCGCGATGTTGTTCTCGTTGTCCTTGTTGTCGTTGTTGTTCTCCTTGTCGTAGGGCTGGCTGTACGGAGAGGCCCCCGTCCGTGGCGGCCCTTGCTTGTATCGAGTCGGTCGGTCGGTGTGTTAGCGAAGAAAGCGCAATACGCTACCTAGCTTTCGACCGATGGGTCGAATCGAAGCGAGACCTTCCTATCCTATCCTGTCTCTCACGCCCGTTCCCTTTTCTAGCGCAAATCCTCCTGGGCTTTTCAGTTGCTGTGCCGGTCAGGTGTAGGTGGATGGTAGGTCGTCGTGGTGATCGAGATATCGAAATGGAAAAAAGAAGCGAAAAAAAACAAAAGGAGATTGGGAACCGCTGGTAAGAGGGGAAAATTTCTGCGAGGAGACGGAGGCCGTGTTGTCGACGATTCAACGTCGGCGCTCCAGACTGACTCTCTCTCTCTCTACTGCAGGAGAGAGAGAGAGAGGTTCGTCAGAGGCACCTCGTATAGGTAAAGAATCGAGCCTCCCTTTTCTCCCTGGTGGAGGGATGGTGACAGTCAACATACCTGGGTTTCCGATCTGCTCGAAAATGGATTTCACGCAGAAGATTGGAAAAGACACAAGATGCCCTAGCTGACGGATGAGGCGGGATTGTATCCACTGCTTCTCCCCGCCGGGTTGGTTTTCATGCTAGTACCGGTACCGGTAGATCTACCGGTATCTCCTCTCAGCTCGGGAACGACGGGTAGCCGCTAGCCTGTCTCCCGAATATACGTCGTAGGAGAGGGAATTGGGTAGCCAATTTTCTAGAACCTTTGGCACAGTATGCTTGCATTTTCATCAGTTGTGTATGATTCTACGTTTGCGCGGGCTGTAAAGCAGGCCGAGTGACAGATTGATTATCCGGGAATCGTGAACGATGAACGTTCTTCCGGGAAGCGAGTCAGTCAGTGTTGCCAGGCCACCCCGGATATCCTCACGACCCGGGCCCGGCTGTTCCCGTTTCGTGGGTAGTTGTAAGGGGCAGTTAAGGAGTAGTTGTCAGTAGTAGGTGTAAGTAGTAGTAGTAGTAGTAGTGGTAAGGATAGTTGTAAGGAGTAGTTGTAAGGATAGTTGTCAGTAGTAGTTGTCAGTAGTAGTTGTCAGTAGTAGTTGTCAGTAGTAGTTGTAAGTACAGCTAGTCGCAAGTGTCCGTACAACTCCGACGACCTACAACCAGATCCCTTTTCATGTTCTTATGCTCGCTTCGCTTAATACCGAAAAGGGATACTCTGGATGTTCATCCGAACCAGTTACATTCCACGTGGGTGGGTGTGATCGGGGCCCGTCGCTGGCTTCTATCCGTGCAGTCCCTCTTGATGTGAGTGATGCACTGATGCGGTGCGCTGGAGCCAAGTCATGGAGTTCAGCACGATCCGAACCCGAATCCGAGATCTACAACACTGATCGAGGTGAAACTACTTATGCATTAATACAGTAGGTAAGTACCGGTACATACTGTATACTGTATACTGGATACTGTACAACTACTGTATTAACCGAGACTTTTCCTTTCCACGTGAGCACTGAGGAGGCGGAAAACCTTACTGACTGCTACTGTAGAAGACACAGGGGAAGTGCACCAAGCGAGAGAGGGGGGGAAACCAAGAAGGAAAAAGAAAACCCCCGATACGAGTACGACGTACGGAGTGTTTACGGTGGATACGGAGTACGAACGAACAAACGCACAAGCGAACGAACAAACGCACAAGCGAACGCACGACGAAGTAAGCCAGAGCCAGCAGCTGTAATATAAACTTGCTGGACCTCATGACTGGCTCGCTTTACGCTTTCTGCTCTTCCATTGGATGCGCTGTAGCCTGTCGGACTTGTCAGCGTCAAGCTCCCTTTCGCTACTTGCACTTGGACTTGCACTTGGACTTGCACTTGCACTTGGACGTTCGGAGCACGGAGTACGGAGGTAGGTTTATACGTTTCGGCGTCGCTGTTTGCTCCGGTCCGCTGCGTATGCGAACCCTTTTCTTTCCTTCTTTCCTCTTCGTCTCTTTATAGGGTACCCTTCCTGAGGAAGTACTTGCGCCTTTTGCCTCTGGCGATTACGTCGTGTGCATAGCCCATTTCTTGGTGGAATCGACACGTAGACCTACGTACAGAGTAGCGACAGAGTAGCGACAGAGTAGCGACAGACTAGAGCCCGGAGACCGGAGACCGGAGGCCGGAGAAGCAAACGGAAGCCATGGGCCGAATCTACGATCTTGTCATCCTCGAGCCCATGGCCGGCAAAAGCGAGGTGGGCCTCCAGACCGCACTGCACGTGAGCGAGCTTCTCCGGAAAGACTTGCGATGGGCCGTGGCCGGGAAGGATGGCGATGCTTTGGAGGATTGCCTGGACGCTTTGAGGAGGGAGCCGAATCGCTCATTACCTGGTGAGCCGTCCTCTAGGAAGATCGCTTCCCATACCGTACTGTGCTGTACTGTACTGACGTCTTCTTCTTAGCGGTCGAGGTATGCGCCGGTAGCCAGGAAGAGATCATAGAGTTAGTGCAGAAGACCAAGGTCATCATCAACTTGTCTACGATCAGTGATGGCCGAGGAGAGATTGTGGTCAAGGCTTGTGCGAACCACGGGACGCATTATCTTGATACGTGAGTTGAGGACCTACGCCGTGGTCGGTAGACGTGCTAATGAGATGTAGAGTAAACGATATCCACTGGCTCGGAGGCATCATCCGGAAATACCATACCGTTGCGAGAGAACACAACGCTATTGTATGCCAGCTCTCCTCAACTTGCGATAGAAGAAGGGGCCGAGCTAACCAGTCCAGATCCTCTCCCACATCAGCGTCGAAAGCACGCCGCAAGACCTCTTGACTGTATGCGCCGTGCTGAAACTGAAGTCCAAGTTAAACCTGCAAACCAAAGAGCTTATCTGCGCCATCAACCAATCCACGTATGTCTCCCTTCCCTTCCCTTCCCTTCCCTCCCCCCTCGGGACCTCACTCACCAACACCGAGCCACAGCTGCCCAAGCTGCCCGAGCCGCCCGAGCCGCCCGCGTCTCACAAACCGCCTATCGACCGGCGCATCGGATTCCTCCGGCCCCTTGAGATCCCCCGCGAAATCCCCCCGACATCCGCCGCTGAACCCCTTTTACCTCTCCCTGATCCGTGGCCGCACCTCCTGTTGCAACCTGAACCGCTTGGGCCGCCGCCGTGAACTCACGCTCGGCCTCCTCGCTCCCTCGCAAACGCTCACGAGCCAGCAGACCCGGGTGCTGGTACATCGAGGCTGGGCCCTGCAGCAGGATGGCAAGCTCTACGGCGAGAACTTCTACTACAACGAGTACTTCGAAGCAGAACGCGCGCCGGACCTACGGGAACCCAGGAGGGGACTGGGCTGGATGAAGATGCTGTCCTGTTCGAGGAGGGAGGAACCTCCGGAAGTAGCGTAAGTGGACTCACCACTCGACTTTTTTCTTTCTTTCTCTCTTCATCTCTTTCTCTCTTTCTTCATCTCTTTCTCTCTTTCTTCATCCCTTTCTCTTCTTCTCCCTCTTCTGAGGGAGGATCTCAAGACCACACACACAACTAACATCCCGTCCAGCCCAGTAGAGAGGAAACCCCACATCTCCGTGAGGGCGATAGCAGTAGCCGACCAGGAAGGCGCCTTTCCCGAGCGGGCCCTCGCCGAGTTCTCGTACAAGGGCACCTCCACCGAGCTCGTCGCCGCCTTCCTCGCCCGAGGCGCCGCCACCATCCTGCACACCAAAGGCCTGCTCAAGAGGGTCGGCGGCGGGGGTGTGCTGACGCCGGCGGTACTGGGGATGGATTACGTGGATCTCTTGGGGCGGGCGGGCGTTGAGATTAGCGGGGAGTTGATGTGAGGTCTCCTCACCTGCTCATTCACCCGTGTCTTTGTCCCTTCGGCTTGCGTGGAGGATCAGGTCACGTTTTATGTATATGCTTTTTTTCTTTTCTTTTTTCTTTCTTTCTTTCTTTCTTTCTTTCGTTTTTTCTTTTCCTTCTTTTTTGTGCTTTACTATATACCCCCCCACCAGTTGTGCCATCCATATACATAGCTTGATAGATCTAAAATCTCATCTCATCTCATCTCATCTCATCTTGTCTCGCCTCGTCTGCTGATCTACTTCAACTTGCCTTCTCACATGCACGCACCCATGCACCCACGCATGGATGCACGTCTCGCCACACCACATCCGCTCCCGACTGAGAGGGACAGCAGCGGAAGGGAAGGAGGGAGGGAGTCCTGCTCTTTCTCCATTCCATTCCATTCTATCTTATCGCATCTCATCGCATCTCATCTCATCTCATTTCTACGCGAGAAGCTCGCTTCGGATACAGAGACGAGCGGATGTGGAATTTATTTCATTCACTTGATGTGTGTGTGTTGTGAATATAATATATATATATATATATATATGTATTTGTTTTCGAGGTATGTGATGGAGGCTGGCTGTTGGTTATTGAATTGGATGCGATTGGATGCAATGCAATCGAATGCAATCTATCTCCTCTTTGCCCTCCTTGCCCCCTTTTGGCTTTCATCGTCTATTGTCCGCTATATGCTATATGCTATATGCTATATGCTATATGCTATATGCTATATGCTACACCTGCACACGTCGAAGCCTTCCTGTCCGAGCAGATGAGGGGAGAAGCATGCAAGCAATGCAAGCGCGGAGGGAGGGATTACTATACAGAGTTGTACAGTATTTTATTTATATAATGGATGGGTCTAGGAGTGAATATCGGAGCTAAGCGAATCGACTCGACTCGACTCCCCCCCCCCCCCAATATTAGGTGTGAACCTCGTCTCTTCCACCACCTCAAGTCATCAATCAAACCTCTGCAAACCTCTGCAACAAAGATTTTTTTGCAAACCTAACCCACTGTCGCTTGTTTTCTCTTAGTTGGTTAGTTAGTTAGTTAGTTAGTCTGTGCCCTTGAAATTTTATTATTATTATTATTATTATTATTTTTTAAAAAAAAAAAGCCAAGGTGCGTCGTAGCCGAGGGCGTGCGTGCGTGCGTAGCCTAGCCTAGATATTCTCCCGGCTCCCTCTCAGACAGAGCTGGCCTATCCAGAGCGAACAGGCAGGCAGGCTACTTGGGAGCAGCGAAAGCAGCTGGCCCAGATCAGAGGGAACACGCGTGGCAGGCGCAGCGCAAAAGCGTCGCTGCCAGATGTACTCCAGAGAAGCCGTTCTCGATGGTGAGGTTGGTTCCCTTTGCTGTGCGCTGATTGATGTTTGTGATGGGGGAGGCGGGACATTATATGTGTGTGTGTGTGTGTGTGTGTGTGTGTGTGTGTGTATGGTATTCCTCGCTTATTAATCGCTTACACTTTTGCTTCTTGCTTCTTGCTTCTTGCTTCTTGCTTCCTTCAATGTCGTGACGCCTGCTAGGTACTCACCCACCCAGCCCTGGCACAGCTTAGCGGGATTGCAACGCTGCCGATTCGATTCTCTCTTCTCTCGTAGACGGTGGGTGAGCAGACAGGCAGACAGATAGACAATCAGTACTCGCATCGCTTCCCCTCTCCTCATTTCCATCTTCCATCATCTCTTCTCTTCTCTTCTCTTCTCTCTTCCCTTCCTTTCTTCCCTTCCTTCCTTCCTCCAGTTCTCCTTCCCTACGCGCTAATGCGAACTTTGAAAAAAGCGTCGCGACGAAGACGCGGGGAAAGGATAGCAGAGAGGCAGCGTTTGCTTTCCTTCTTGTCTCCTCTTTTACGTCTCTCTCTTTCTCTCTCTCTCTCTCTCTCTTTTTTTTTTTGATTTTTGATTTTTGATTTTTGATTTTTGATTTTTGATTTTTGAT